CTTCGACTCGTCAGAAGACAGTGAAGACGAGATAGACTTGGACAAGCCCATCTCAAAGGAGGACCTGCATGACGACGAGTACTGGATGGCCATGGAGAAAAAGGCGTACTCTATGGTAAAGGCCAATATGGAGCAAGTGGAAACGGGGCAACTGGAAACGGTCGACGAAGAGTCTCCCGTAGACGAGAAAAATGTACAGGGAGCTTCGCCAACCGTGAAGAAACCCTCAAAATTCGCTCGCATGTTCCAGTCAAGGAAAGAAAGGGAGCAGAAGATAGACAGGGAGGCCAGAGAGATGGCGATGAAGCAGCAGGCCGCAAAGAAGCTAGACACAGTCGAGCACAAATCGGACCCCCCGAACGGAAAACCGGTCTATGGCCCGCCGCTTCCTCCTGAAATGCAGAGGGAGAAGGAAAAGAAGAAGGGCCTGACGCGCTATGGGCACAAGCCAGTGCCTACGCTTGCCACCATGAAGTCAAAAGAGGAAGAGCCAAGTACCTCTCAGAAATCTGGCGGCAGGCTAACCCCCACCAAACTAGTCGGCAAAATCAAAGGGGGCTTCACAAGGGTCAAGGATTCGATCCGATCGAGGCTTTCGGGGGAAGAGAGCGACACGAGTGAATGATTTGTTGTTTTATAAAGATTCTCGGCGTGGCAAAAAAATTACATGAACTCACGTTTTATGTTTTGAATGAAAAGAGTTGTGGCAAACATGCTTTACACATTCCTCACGCATGTCTCACACATGCCTCACACATGCTTCACGCATGCTCCATTGACACAGAAACAAAATTAAGGTAGAAAGAAATGCTTCAAGTATGCATCGCTTTAATTTCTTTTTACCTGGGGCTCATATAAAATGAAAAAAAAACTTGAAAAATTGCAAGGTCGCAAAGAGCTTATCACAACTGCGCAGCGAAGGGACGCACTTTTAGCCGTTTCTGTAGAAGTGAGCATGGTACACATGGACGTTCGCCTAAATGTGTAATTGTTGAAGCTACCTCCATGCGACTGTGCTTACGTACATACGTTTCCTTTCAAAGCCAATATAAGGAATTCATCAATTTGTAAACACAGCTCGATTGAAATGGATTTAATTCTACGTAGCTTCCTTCACGCATATAAAATCCTTTATATATACGACACGATTTTATATGTATAAATACGTGCATGTGTATATGTATATTGTAAAAAAGAGTGATATGTGATTGATGTGTATATATATGTGTATATGTATATGTGAAAAGAGAGATATGTGATAATGTTTTACCCAATATAAATCTTCACGCCAAGTTCGTGTCTGTCTTGCTACTGGGTTGTGTTTCTCTCCTAAGGAAGCTTTTCTCAGAACGTGACGTTAGACTAGAGCATTGTGGGTAGTATAGATGGAAGAGACTAATCTCCAAGCAGATCTTTTGGTGGGGGTACGACAGTATCAAATTGGCCACTCTGTAACCATTTCCCCACCCCTTTGATACTGTCTTACCCCCACCAAAAGATCTGCTTGGAGATTAGGAAGAGACTACATCGTCGGCTGTTTGTGATTGAAATGAATTGTGAAATGCAAAAGCAAATTTTTGAAAACCAAACTTGCCCAAAGATGTGTGAACAACATCAATCGATGTATCTAACCTTGATTACAACCACTTCTATATATGGCGTGGCCTTGTGAACGAACTATTAGAATACTCCATTTGTATTTGGTCATTAATTTAAAGGGCCAAGATCTTCTGTATACGATTAAATCCATTCATCTAAAGTGAAGAATAGGACAATGAATGAGCGCTATATGCGTTTTATTCATCATTTTGGTCCGCATGAAGTATCCCTGACATTCAAAAATTGCGCATCAGACAGTGTGGCTTTGATATGTAGAAATATTAACGTCTGTAGCAGCACCCTTATTCGAATTCTGAAAATAGTAGAAATGTAGTTATTGAGTACATCTTTACAATGAGACTATGATAATGATATAACCGTTGCACTTTGTTCAACAACAGTCAGTAACAATTGAAACATATTGCGGTCTTTCGATTCCATCCATTGTCTTTTTTTTGTTTGGTGTTATCATGGCACAAGTATATCTAAAATCGCAAAAAAAACTCATGTTAAGGCATGAGAAAAATATAAAAATGTAACACAGCTCCGTATACGTAAGTAATGACATAAGTTATTCCCTCCCACAAAATAACACAACATATATATACTACAACATTTATATATACTTGTTCGGCTCATAGACTGTTCACTGGAAAAACTAACATTTAGTTGTAATAATTATGGTCAAAACACTGGATAATAATTGCACTCACCGTTAACATTTTAGTGTCTCATTCATCTTCACCACAAATTTCTTTAATAATACTGTCCCTGTTGGTTTTTGATACTGTATGTTACAATCTGCATCGCTTATATTGACATAATAAAACAATTAAAACAAACGAAAGAGTTACAGATGCTTATTAAGTTGATACACATCTTTTCTCTGGACTATTTTAATTATGAAAATATATAAACCCTTGGTGACTGATATACAAACTGACGACAATACTTATCCCACAAAATACTGGTAATCTACAACTTCGTATCCTCTTCCTCGTCTGCTTCTTCTACATCCGGTAGAGGGTTGTTTGTGAGGTATTTGTTGACGTCACTTCCGGCGGCCGCCATCATAGCACTGAAGCGTGAGTTGGGGTCGGACATGAGAACCGCTGGGGTGTCAAATTCCACCAGCTGGAAGAGACGTGTGGAGAAATGTGAACACCGAGAGGTACGTTAGTGGCAACTTCTACTACCCCGCTACTGCCACTCACTCACTCACTCACTCACTCACTCACTCACTCACTCACTCACTCACTCACTCACTCACTCACGCAAACACATATATGCAAACAGGCACACAGACACTCATACACGTACACAAACACACACAAATACACACATACATGTACATTCATACATACTTACAGGCACATATACGCACGTACATACAGGCACATACAAATACATGTACGCGTGCACACAGACACACAGACCGACACAATGACACACACATCCACAGATGTACACACATGCACACATACACACACCGACATTTACACATAGACACACAGAGAGAGACATACACACAAATGCACATTCGTACGTATATACAGGGCAGGCACATACACACACACACACAAAGGCACATGCACACCCATAGACGCACACCTATACACAAACACCCTCCGCGTACAAGTCTAACGTTTACTGTTTCTAAACGCACGCAGAGAGTTTCCCCCACAAGTACATGTACCTACAGCATACCTTTCCATCCTCCATGACCATAATACGGTCGCTGTTCAGCACGGTGTTGAGCCGATGAGCTATGGTCAACATGGTGCAGTCTGTGAAGGCCTCGTGGATGGTCTTCTGTATCAGGCTGTCTGTTTCTGAGTCGATGGCCGCTGTTGCCTCGTCAAGTAGAATGATCTATAAACAGCAGGCATTGCAGGGGAAAGTCATTTAAAGCCTAACTTTGGTCTAAAGACGTAGAAGCAAGTTTACTGAAATGGTTACCTAAATCTTTATCATCATGTCAAGCAATCACAATTAACAGGTGACCTGCAGGTCAAAACTGCGTGTAGTTTGTAACGTCCCCCGTCTCTGCTTAATGAAGTGTAGATGGTGATCCTGACACCCACTCAACGTAAAGAAAGCCATGCAAAACATTACGTAAATGCAGGTGGTAAAATTTATACTGAACAAGTGTGTATGATCACGCAGGGCCTTGGTAACGACTACATTGTATTTCGGAGTTGTAGAGAGAAATTAAGCCTCACTTACTGACTAAGTTACCATATTCAACACCAGGCCGACTCGTGGTTAGCTAATACTCACCTTGCTGTTCCTGAGCAGGGCCCTGGCCATACAGATGAGCTGACGTTCACCCACTGAGAAGTTTTCACCGTTTTCTACCACAGGAGCCTCTAACTGTTTCTCGAGCCCCGATATCTGTGAGGAACAATAGGAACAATAAATCCTCTTTACGGAAACAAAGTCAATTAAATAGGATCGATTCAATCAAATCATTAAATTTGGAAATCAACCTAATCAATGACTGATTGTTTATTACCGCATCCTTCATGTAGGTCCTCTCTAGCGCACGCCATAGGTCTGGATCCTTGTACTGATTGAACGGGTCCAGATTATACCTGGTTTTGGACAGGGCACACAATCATTCAGTGAATAATAGAACTGAATCAAAGAACTAGAAAAAATTCTATGACATTGTATTCATATTAGCGATATATATATATATGTATTTGCATACTTTCTTTTGTAATCAAAGCTATACCATGTAAAAATTCAGAGCCGTTTTTATTTTGAAAGGTGGTTAAAATTTTGAAAATCACAACAATTGGGAATCGTTTCTCCTATATCTGGAAGTTTGGATTGTTCCATTTCTCAGAGAGAGGGGGGTTCCCGTTTTGTACCTGACAGTTCCCACAAATAAGACCGGATCCTGCGGGATGATGGAGAGTTTGCTGCGGAGGGACTGCAGACCGATCTTGCAGATGTCCACCCCGTCGATCAAGATGGTCCCGTCCGTCGGCTCCACCAATCGGAACAAAGCAACGCCCAGCGATGACTTGCCTAATGATATCAAGTTACATCAAAGAGAAACTCAGTACAAAAATGTTTTCGTTCTTCTGCTGTGCACATGGTTAATTGTTCGTCATACATATCATATCATATCGTATCATATCATATAACTATCGACTATATAATGGGAGTCATTGGAAATAGTTTATGGAAAAAACAAAACACGGAAAAGCGGAAGTGCTGCCTTACCCGATCCCGTTCTACCCACAATTCCCACCGACTCTCTGGGCCGGATGTTGCACTGAACGTCCTTCAGCACCAAGGGCAGGCTCTCCCTGTAGCGCATCTGGTAACGGTCAAACTGCACAACGCCCTGGTCAGGCCAGCTCTCAGCCGGGTCCGACTCTTTTATATGCTCTGGGGCTTCCTGCTCCAAATTCTGTGAGGGAAAAGTCCAGGTATTATGCAATGACTTGACAGGAATGTGGTTAAATGTGGCTGTTAACGTACGACATATCATCATCAAAGAAACAAAATCAACATTTGGCAATACAGTTGCAACAGAGACTGCACAACCATTACTATACTGTGCATCAATGCACGTTTTGTGACTTTTTTTCAGTGTTTATTTGGTGGAGGTCAGACTAAAATGTTGAAGTACGTACGTCGGCGTAGTGTGTTATCCTCTCCACACACGTGAAGCTGGACTCCGTCTCTGACTAGTCCATCAACTAGATCATCATTAGAATAATTGCAGAGCATGACTTAACTTGTAACTCACAACTGATTAACAGTTTTTGTCAGAATTGAGAAAAACATCACCATCTTTCACAACTATTACAATTTTCAAACATTTAAGTCCAGCTCTGTAACAAATAACACATTATGCCCTTGGTGTAAAGCATATTATCTTGTGTGATGCTGTGAATTTTTACATCATTAGAAACCTTGTGAATTTGCCCAAATACAGGGAGCTCTCTGGGTCTCATGCAGACCTGGAAATGTGAGTACTACTGTACAGTAACTGTAACTGTTATTGTTTGAGATCCAACAGTGTTTTTACTGCCTGTGCATGTCTGCAGGATCTGATGCCTACGGATTATTGATGGAAGTATTTTTTTTGGTGGTAAATCCAAACAAAGCAATTGATATTCATTTTATCACTCATTCTATAAAATGTCATTGTTTGTCACCTCCATTTTACAGGGCCATTTATGAACTGCACCAAGAAAAGAACAGGTGTGTTACATTCTATTATTGTTTTCAACATCTTTAAAGTCGTAAACAAACAGTTGAGAAAAAAGTTTCTTGCTTCCAACTAAAATGAAAAAACGATTTACACTGACTCTTAAAAGTTAATTAACTAACGGTCAAAATGATATACTTTTTTTAGGTATTAAAAGTTTTTCTGGTAAGACTAGACTACACTGTAATGTTTGATCCACCCACACTAGGAAGGACCCCTTCTTTTGTTGAGAAGTGTGGTAGGATCTTTAACATGCTCATGGTGTGGATCTCCTCAATCAAACTTGGCTACCAATCTGCAATGGCATAGGTAGTAATACAAGCATGTAAAATCTTTGGTTCTGTCCCATGGACTAAGGTACTCACTTTGGATCTGATTACATTCTAATCCTTATTATCTACAACAGGTGTGCCCAGAAGAACCTGCAAATTGAGGATCTGAAGGCACAGGTGGCAGTTCTAAAGACAGGTGGAGCCTGGTGAGTTTAGCCTTGTTCATGTGAAGTCACCCAAACCGCGATTCGGGTAACTCGCATTCCTCACATCTGGTCCATGTGCCATACATTCCTTTCAAACCGTGTCCGATCACGATTCTCTGAAACTGCATTCATTGTTGTTTGATGAAAACACGCAAGGTAGCGTGTTATCAATGTCAGGGGTCAACGACCTGCTTGCTGGTGCCCCCCTCCCAGCGTATCTCGGCCAAATACCGACGTGGTCCCGCCAGAGGCGGTGAAGCTCATCCTAGAATTGACACATTATTTGACTATAATTACTTCTCTTTAAGTTGCTGCCACGTAAAATTTGGTATTGCATATAAATAAAGAAATATCACCCCATAATCCTTGACTAGGTGAAGTCACATTGAAATCACATTGCGTTTAGACACAAATCGCGATGCGGGAAAACCAATTCGAAACCACCTCTAGAAGTGGTTTGGGATCGAGGCGCTTTCAATGTGATTTGGAGCGTTCAGATGGAGCCACTTGAAACTGGCTTCAGGGGAAACCACATGTAAAGCGCCTTCACTGACTTCACATGAACACGACCCTATACATCTTCAATGTATGTCTTTTTGGCAACACCTCAGGGGTGGTTCCATAACATCAAATCTTTTCCATCCTTCACCAGCTATGATGAAGGCAGATAGTATATTTTGGCTTGGCTTCATCATAGGTGGTGAGGCCAGAGATTGTTTGCTATTCAGAGACTCTTGTGTTTCTTATTGCACTTTGAAACATTAGTCACATATATACATGTACCTGTATATCATCTTGCAGATTGTCTGAATTGTCAGGCATTTACAATAAAGGCACAAAGAAGTTAATATATGACAATCAGGGACAATCATTGAAATAAATTTAGAATGGGATACAATTGGATAGGTCTCTAAATGACAGCAGGACAAAAATGTATCATGACTAGGATGCTTAAGTGACCTATGGAAATGTAGAGTTGTGTAGCTTGTTTCATGTTCTATATTATACTTGGAGGAAGATAGCAAACAGGCAGCAGCAATAATTGGTTGTGAAAAAAGACCATAACGTGATTGTAACTTGCATTAGCAGCTTGATGTAAGAATGAGATTTGACTAAATGTTTGAATTATTTCCAGTTTTGGCAGTCGTGAAGAAGCGAGATGTCACATCTCAGCTCTGGAGGCAGAAGAGCTCGCATTTAGGATCGCAGAGCTGGAGGTGTTGTTGGAGGAACAGAGGAAGTGAGTTGACATGATTGTGTTTTTTTTTACAATGAATCTTAAAGGGGCATTAGGTTACATTATTGCACCAAAATTTGAAATGTTTTAATTGTTTGTATGACTGTATTTTACTTCCATCGTCAACATATTTGTGCAATCATCTCACATTTATAGTTGGCACTAAAACAGCGCAAATCATCTCAGCAAATTTACCTGAGTGTATTTATTTTGATGCAATTTTATCTTTTTGAATGTTTTTGTTAGGCACTTCTGAAACTGTTAACTTTGCTTCCCTCATTTTCTTGAAATCACCTCCCATTCTTACCATATTCCATTGTAATTTTAAAAAGTATCATTTCATTGCAATTTTATTGTTTTCCTTACATGCAAAATTATTAACTGATCAAGATATTTATCTTATTTATTATTAATGAGTATACTTATGTATTTCATTGCATTATTGTTCTCCTACAGTGAAACGAACATGCTGAGAGACCTGCTGAAAAATGTACCACAGACACAGATGTCTGAGGAGAAACCAGCTGATATTGAACAGCAGCGCAACTTCCTGCCAGAATACCTCCTGGCCAGCTGTCCATCTCCAAGCAAAGAGGAGGAAACAAGCTGATATCGAACAGGAGGGTGACTCATTCCTGCCAGAATACCTGCTGGCCAGCTGTCCATCTCCAAACAAAGAGGAGCAAACAGCTGAAATTGAACAGCATGACGACTCTTTCCTGTCAGAATACCTGCTGGCCAGCTGTCCATCTCCAAGCAAAGAGGAGCAAATAGCTGATATTGAACAGCAGCCTATTATTCTGCGAGTATCCAAGTCACATGAAGATTGTCTTGAGGACCATTCAGACATTGCTCCCCTCTTGGAAGAGTTGCTCATCAACTCCCGCTCCCCCCTGCGGGCAGATTCAGTGTCTGCGCTAGACCAGGAGTCTCAGGACATCTTGCGTCTATCAGAGCTGCTGAGTTCTGCTGCCAGCCTGGAATCCTCATGCGATGGAAGCCAGTTACACCTCCCTGACCCAAAGATGGCAAATCCACAAGCTTCTGTGAAGGAGGAGACCCAGGCACCAGAGGGGGTGAAGTGCGGTGGACTCCTTCAGTCCATACTTGAAGAGGCACAAAGTATTTTGTCCCTGAGTGCATCATCAGCGGTCACACCTGGCAATGACAACACAGAGCCCATCAAGGTTCAGCGTGGTCAGGTTGTGAAGACGCCGCTTCCCACAGGGCAGACCTACTGGACAACCGTGGAGCCTCTCCAGGGTTCCTGTTGTTACACCACCACGTACATCAGCAGTAACAAGGACATAACAGTCTACCAGCAGCTGTGAACAGGACATTTCTTATCCTTCAACCTCTTTGTAATGAAGTGTCCATTGAAAGTGAAGACATATAAGCTGTCAAATGATTCTAAATGTATATTACAATGTTTTTTTCCAGAAGGAATGTATGAAGTATTATCTTGTAAAGAAATTCTGCATCAAAGGCAAAGGCTGCTCAACAATTAGCTGTAAATGTTCGCGATGGTACTATTTTCACCGTTTCCGGGCTGGCCTCTAACTACCCCCGCAAATATGAGGTTGGCATTTCTATTTTGCTTCAGACTTGTTTCAACCCAAAAGTTCAAACACTGCAAAAATCTTTTCTCTCAAGCTGTGAAATAATAAAAAAGACAAAGTAAACGAGTTTACAGTATTAGAAGAGAACAAGCAATTCTAGCTCTCTCTCCTTGTGTCATAATGCAGGAAAAATATAGCGTATTGTATATTCATGTACATGTATAAATGTGTCGGTCCTATCCTATTTGTAAGTAGAAATCTGACACTGACTGAATTCAGATAGATTTTATGAACAGATGCAGAAATATATATTTGTATGAACGATTTTATCAGACATTTTGAAATGAGAGGTACAGTTGACTTTCATGTAAAGCAATTCCCATGTGATACTGCATGTCACAAACAATGGCTTTATGAAGGCGGCACAATACATGTCTTCTGACTTGCGTACAAGACTCAGTAGTATTCCTTCTCTCATGACTGATACAATACTATTCTGACCAGTTTCTATATCATAACTAATATCAAATATTAGTGTTTGTCAAAGTAAAAAGCAAGTCTGTTGTCTCCTTGAATTGGCAATTTGAAAGAATGGAGAATCACTTTTCGATAGAGTGTTTCAATTTTGAGGAGATAAGTTATCCGTGCGAGCGGCACAATGTCAGGGTCTATAAATTTCTTCAATCATCTGCTTCATCCTTGTGAACTGAACTTAGTAGTAGGTGGCTTTTCTGTGATCACCAAGCAAACTGCAGACGACGCACAAGCTTTCGAATGACGAGACGATGTCAGGATGCGCAATGCACCATAGATGCTCCGCCTCATGAGAAGTGCCTGTTCATGATAGCTGAGGGACTTTCTGTAATCACCAAGAGTACCCCATACGGTTGAGTGACGAGCCGATGCTATGATGTGCGATGCCCTCACCATACAC